ACCCATTATAATTTGTTCCATTCAAAACAATGGTAATTGGCCTAGAAATATAATGTCTCCATATTCCAAGTATAGCAGAAATTATTGATAATTTAAAATATGGTGCATTTCACTTTGAATAGAGAGAATTAATTATTGATGAATACATTTAATTTCTTTTATTAATTTTATTTATATTTTGAATAATTATGTTTGAATAGTAATAATTATTATATAACAAATGATTATAACCATTTGAATATAAATAGATGATTGCTCACATAAGTTATAATTGTATAAGTGATCATACTCATTTGAATAAAAATTTATATTTGTTTATTCATTTTGAATAATTTAGTATAATTATTTTCACTACTTTTGATTGAAAAGTTTAAAGTTTTGATATAACCTAAAGGTATAATTGCCTTTAAGAAAGTATTCTTCACGTTTCAAAGCCAATTATTTTTTATTGTTTCTATTCCTTTATTTATTTTTTTTTTAACAATTTAAAAGTAATTATATGAAATTCATATTTCACATGAGAAAGATATAAAGAAAAATTGACAAAATTGACTTTTGAAACTAGCATGAAAAGTCTCAAATATGCAATTCTTTTATTGGTAAACACATACTAAAGATCAGATAAGTTTAATATTTCTTTTTTTTTTTGTTTTTATATTCTATTAAAAGAATTTATGTTACGAATTCATAAGAGACTTTGAGCCATATTGAATTTTGCTTTTACATTGACCATAAATTCTTTTAATTTTTCAATCCTGAATTAAATTATTTAATTTATAATTTATGATTTTATAGTCTATCTTATATGGATTTTCTTGATCATGGCATTGAATGGTCGTAAGCAAAAGGGCATGAAGTACTTGCTAGCTTTGGTTATGAATCTTCTATAACCTTATTATATATTGATAGGACCATGGTTAACAAATCAAAACGATAAAATTCTCAAGAATTATTTTAAAACATAAAAGAAATTGTGAATTTATAAATTTTTTCAAAAAAGAAGCAAGTACGTGTCTTCTTATCATAAAATCATATTTTATGGTTCATATTCCATGATTGCATTTTATTAACAAGAGAATAATGCATGATTCATATTATCTAATTTATATGATATTGTTTCAATAATTATTTCCTATTTATTTTGTTTATTTTATATAAGAAACAAACATATTATTTAAAATAATTTCAATTCAATTGGAGAAGTTATATAATTCTTTGTAATTAGTTAAAATGCTTTCTATTTATTGGGTGGAAAGTTTCATGTATTTGATAATTTGGATGCAAACTTTATATATAGTATTGTGTTGTTATACATAAAATTATGATTGTTCTTAATACCTAAAACATGGTGGGTATAGCTTTAGTGTCCATAATAAAATAATTTTATAAGTGTCTATGAGTTGGTATGACTGTCTCAAAAGGAGACTATAGAAGCATGAGTTTACTAAATTGAAGCAAATTATATAAGGATGATTATATTTGGCATCATACTTATTGATGTTTACTCTTATATTAGGTTAAAATATAAAAGTTATGAAATTTTTATGAAAGAAAAATATTAAGATATAGAATATTTGCTAGTTATCTTTCACTGAGAGTGAATTTGGAGGCCTCCTATTTAAAAAAAAAAAAAATCCCACCAAATAGTGAAAAGATAATGAAATAGCAACTTGATTAAGTATATATGATATCTTAATAATTTAATGGGACATTCTTTAATAAAAGAATGCATATTTGCACATGGTGGGGTAATAAGAATCAAAAGAAATAAAAATTGCCACTATAGTGTTGTAAGATTTTAGTATAATTTTATGAGCAATTTATTAAAGTAAAATCATAAAAAGTCTTTAAATATCTTAAAAAAACTAAAATGGCTTGGTTTATTAATTGAGTTTATCCAATTGTGCTAGAAGTATAATTGTATTAAAGATGTATAAAAGTATGAAAATAGAAAAGTTAAAATTTATGAGTATAGAATTGTGGCCACAAACAATACTAATTATTTTTTAAAATGATTTGAATAAGGAAACAACATCTAAAGCATAAAAACCATCTGTAAACTGAAAATTTTGGACATTTTAGCCTATGAAGTGGTTATATTAGAGATTTAATCTCAAGTGAAGGTAATTATTATAAAAGAAAATTGAATTCCAAGATATTTGGTTAGTAGTACTACAAATAGAATGGATTTAAACCTTTACTATTAGACACCAATAATGGAAACCCAACTTTAAATTAGTAACCTCTAATTACAAAGTTTAAAGAGTAAAAATAAGTTATTGTTATATGTTTGTTAAACATTAGTAAAGCCCATTCAAATTTTAGAAACTAGTGTGCCCATCGCGTGAAAAGGATGAGTTTTTTATACTTGTAATAAAGTTTATTAGTTAAATGTCTAAAGTAATGAAGATATTATGAAAACTCTACCTATATAAATATTAAAGTGGTGCCGCTTCAACAAAAAATATTGGGGTCTCTTTTGTAAATGTTTATGAATAGGATAAGCATATGGTCATAATAATACTGAAGCAGTTATAAACTTTTTACAGAAGAATAAGTAAGTATTATGTGTGTTATATTTTTTATTATAATACTAGGAGTTGAGGTTTAATTTGTAGATACCATGAACTTCATTATAACTATAAGGTATATATGTTAATTGAGGCTTTACATCAAGAGATACCTTCTTGTATTCATAATATATGTTAATTTTTGTGAAAGGTTAAACATTAAACACTAATATTTCAAAATAGCGGTGGATTGTCATTAGTTTAGAATATGGTGCATCCCATATTGGATATAAAAGATAATCTAATAATATAAACAAGATCATATATGGATAATGATACAAAAGATGTACTTGATTATGAAGGCATAATGGAAGTGTTTTTACAAAAGAGTTATGAAAGTATAACGGAAGTGTTTTTACAAAAGAGTTACGAAAGCATATCCGACTTGATTCACTGGTTGGGGACAAGATTACACATTTAGAAATTGTTCACTCTCCACACATAAGTCTTTAAACACCGGTGCAAGGGATTCTTTGAAGAGTTCACAAGAAATGTCTTATTCCTTTGCTTTGCCATCTCTCTCTTTTCCTAATCTAATTTTCTATGTGACTTATCATATAATCCCATATATGAATGAGACTTGTTTCATACTTTCAATGAATGCTCTTTCATCCTAATTCATCATGGCTGAATGCCATGCCACTTTTTGAGAGAGAAAAAGACTGCCATTCCTATCTTATTTCATGATGGTTAAATGCCATAATCATAATCACTTTCATGATGGTTAAATTGAAACATGAAAAATAATTTCTATTAGAATAAAAAGAGTGATCATTCAAGTGAACCAATTTATTTGTTATTATTAAAAAAAAGTATCTTTCTAGTTTAACAAAGTGATATTCGATTGAAACAAAACAATCGAAAGAGTCAACCTTAGATTTAATCTTTATAAATAGAAATTGTGAGTGTTCATTTGTAGATGTTCAAAGGAGTTCAAGAATTTAAAATCATTCTCTCTTTTCTCCCATTCTTTCACAAATAAATGCTAGTTACTTTGATATTATTTCTATAGAAATTAATGCTTAAAGTTTTCCATCTCTCTTCAATGGATGCTTAGTGGTTTAATATCATAAGTCTGAGATGATATCATACAAAACTTTATTGTATCTTAGAGGCATTTTGGTTAGATCTCTTTTATATGTTATAAATGATAGGTACGAAATAAATCTTAAAAGAAATAGTATTTACAATATGTCCTAATGTCATTTCATTTGTTCTTTGAAGTCTTGATCTTAAATTCATTTATTTCTTTAAAGGACTACAACCAAAGTCATAAGTGGATCATTATCAACTACAAATTTTTAATTCGTAGCAAGTCTTGTTAATAACACTGTGGATATACAGGTCGTAGATCTAGGGTTTTGTTGAAAGGGGAATTATTATGCGGAGAAAACACTGGATGGCTGAAACAAAGTGATAGACACGTCTTTTAGGTAGGATTTTAGATATAAACTAGAAAGAGAAGCCCTGACATCATGTTGTACAAAACAAAATTCTTGTATTGTCAAATATGTAAAAGCTAGTACAAGAGTACCCTATATATAAAAGATTCTCAAGAATCATATCGTAATCATGTCTACACGATGCTGGTATTGTAATGCTAATATCTTTCTAAATTAACGGTGTTCAAACTTCAAACTCTGAAGAATTTTTTTTTCGAATAAGACAGCATTTTCAATACTCCGAAGATCCAATCATAGAGAATGATCCGATTGTAATTGAAATATTCGTTCAATATGATTTCAAGTTATATTTAGTACACAAAATTATAATAAGATAAGATATAATTATACTATGAATAGGATTAGATTAAATAATGTCATCTTATCTTATGTTTAATGCTAAAATTATTCTTCTTCAAAGTTGATACAATTTAAATTATTGATGTAATTTTTAAGAGTATAATAAAACATGTAAGTTTAATACTATGAATAAAAAATAATCATCTCTACTTTAAAAGGATTGAATCATTGCATACCAAGAGCATGATAATTTTCCTTATAATCTTATCTTTTCAATTAGATAGAAATTAAATATAATATAAAATGACTATTGTACTATCCTATCTATCATTTTATGTATCAAATATGAACTCATAATATTAGTTAAAAGCCTAATCGAAGATTGCAAAATTATTGGTACTAAGAAAGAGATTCATGGAAAAAATACTTATATGACCTTTAACTTAAAACAATTAGGGCAATTTCTTTTGTTTATTTCCTTTTTCTTTTGATTTTTCTATGAACTGTGAATGCGATCATTTTATCCCAGACTTTAATGCACTGTTACAAACTTAAACGCATATGGATGTAGATGGTACAGAAAGTTCAATCCTTGTACATTATTTTCCAATGTATTGTTCTTAAACTACTAAAAGCCAGCTTAAAGCTAGGGCATAAACCAACGTGAAAATTAAACAGAGAAGTGATTACTATCTAATTTTCTTTCTAGTGATTATGATGAGATGATATTCTATACGACTCTCTTCTTATTTTCAAGAAATCTATGACTCTGTTGTGATCAGGGACGTTGTCTTTGATTACAGGCTCTTCACTGAAATTCTTCATCCATGCATGTAGGCGGGGGAAGGTATCGGCTTTAATAAGCTTCACTCCTACTACCTCTTCCATAGGCACTAACATATGAATAACCATTCCAAAGACAAGATCAGGTAGACCAATTTTGTCACCACCAAAAAACTTCTTCTCTCCAAGTCCATGCTTCTCTATTGTTCTCAAGATTTCTAAGTTAGTAGTGATTGCCTTTTCCTGTTCTTCACCAAATTTCTGAAAGAATTCCCACATAGTTCGAGTCTGCAAACAGAAACATAATAATAAGGCTAGAATCAAACATCATCAATCCACAAATGGCTTGAAACAGACATGAGCAGACCTCTAAAAAGGTACAAAGTAAAATAAAAGCTCTTGTGCTTTGAAGAAAAAGTAGATAAATTAAAGACTGGGACGAAAATGATGAAACTTATGATTGTTTGAAGAACAAAATCCTGATAACATATACCTTTTCATCTATAAATTTGGCCCAAAACCGGGCAACGGATCTCTCATGAGCATCATTTGGCAGCAGGGGATTCTGTGACCACACCCCATCAATGTATTCTAAAATAACCAATGACTCTGCAATTGCTTTTCCTCCATGAACAAGCACTGGAATCTTCTTGTGAACAGGGTTGTACTGTAGCAGCAAGTTGCTCTTACTATGGGGGAGATTTTCCTCTATGTATTCATAATCCACACCTTTTAGTTTTAGAGCCCAAATGACCCTTCGGCTAAAAGGACTTGGCCAAAATCCAAAGAGCTTCACTTCATCCATGCTGTGATGTGTGATCTCTATTTTGATTGAATGGCCTCTATATACTAGTTTGAATGGGGATTTTGTTGTTCTTAGTCAGCCAAAATACAATTTAAAGTAGTAAAATTGTAATTGTATTGTACAAATTATAGACCTATATCGGCCAAATTACTTGTTTAATTAACTATTATTGCCTGGGGTTGAATTTTCATCCAATCATATGCGTCATGGATGATGCATCTGAATGTCTATGCTTGCTGCAAAATATATTTTGTGAAATTGTGTTTCCGGGGATGTGTTCAGCTTCCACAGAAAAAGCAAAAGATTTTTATCTGTCATATCTCAAAATAACTACTATAACAACGTATATGCTGACTTAGTTTCTTATTTGGTATTATATCTTTCAAGCCAAGCAAAACTATTTTATCGACAGCGCCAAAGGGTTAAGAATTAGTTGTTTATTCTTTTCGCTTGAATCGAAGCTATAGCTATACCATTTTAATAATTTATGATTTAATCTCTAAATTATATTATTTTTTATGATTTGATAGTTATAAAAAATTACGATTAAATATTCGAATTTTTTGTATTCTAATTATATAGAAAAGATGAAACTAAGATTTCTTTTCAACGTATATAGAACTTTAAGATAGAGTGGGCAGCAATTTTAGAACTCCAAAATTCCAAAGTGAGAAAAGGGTGCTGTTGAAAATGTCTTTGATCTACACGTCATGCATGATGCATTTGGATTACTTAGATCTCAGGCAAAACTATCGTCTCATGGGACAGCCTAAGGTTGGGAATTAGTTGTTTTTTTTTTCGCTTGAATTGAAGCTAAAGCTATACACTTTAATAATTGTGATTTAACCTCCAAATTATATCTTATTTATGATTTGATATCTATTAAAAATTTACAATAACACATGACATTTTTATTGGTTAATATTTGTCACAATAATATTTTAACTAACGATGATAGTCAATAGTCAACAATATAAAATATTTGATGGAAACAAAGTTTATGTAACCAACCATGAATGGTTAAAGCTTTCTTAAATTTGAACTGATAGGTGTAGTTGTTAGGAAAATGGGGTCCAGCAGTGATTTTGGACCAAGTAAAGGCCATGGGCCTTGATTTTTCATTTTACACAGAGCCCTAGCTACTTAATAAAAAAGAAGTGGGATTGTTTTAAGTGGTTGTCGAAAACCAAGTAAAAAAAGAAGAAAAGCCAGAAAAAGCAGAGCGAAAAAAGAGAAGGGTGAGTTAGTTGAACGGAAGTCGATCCGTGGTCCCATTGAGTTGGAACCTTGTCAGGAAGTTTATGATTCAGAGTTCTATATTCTGAACGGTGAAGATCGGGTTTGAAGCTCTTTAGGAACAAATTCATGATGTATTTGTTGAGTCACTTATTTGATGAGATTTCTCCAATTGTTTCTCTAATTGTTGTTTAGCTCTACTTTTAGCTAGAGAAGAACTTTGTATACATATTATTTGATAGTGAAGATTTTTCTGGTGGTCCGTGATTTTTTCCCTCTACACTGGAGGGTTTTCCACTTAAATCTTGGTGTGCTTTATTTTTCTTGTATTTTTTATTATTGATTGTTGTCTATTGCTTCTGTATTATTGTGATTATTACTTCAGACGCAACAAGTGGTATCAAAGCGAGGGTTATTTTGAGACATCGATACAGAAGCAACCCAAGATAGAAGTAAATTCTATTTGAAATCATAGAGGGTGATACAGGTTCCATGATAAAATTGACAGCATCGAATTATTCAATTTGGAAGCTTATGATGGAGGATCATCTATACTATAAAGATTTGTATGAGCCAGTATTAGGTGATTTGGCTAAACCAGTAGATATGAAAGATGAAAGCTGGAAGAAGCTAGGTAGAAAAACACTGGCTACAATCAGAAAATGAGTTGATATCAACGTGTTTCATAATATAGCGCGAGAGTCAGATGCTCACATTGTTTGAGAAAAATTAGCAGCATTGTATGAGAGAAAAATAAGTATGAATAAAGTTATGCTTGTTAAAAAGCTTGCAACTTTATAGTATAGGGATTGACGATCTGTTACAGAGCACTTGAGTGATTTTCAAGATATATTTAATCGGATGACTACTATGGAGCTTAAGATGGATAATGAAATGAAGGCGTTATTTCTTTTGGGTTCATTGCCAGACAGCTAGAATACTCTAGTTGTGATTGTTCTTAATTCAGCTCCTGATTATAAGGTGACATTGGAGATGGTAAAGGACAGTATGCTTAATGAAGAAGCAAGGCGAAAAGATGTAGACCCTGGGAATCAAGCTCTGGTCACAAAGAACAGTGGTAGAAACATTGACAGAGGTCAGGACTCAAAAAGCCATGGTAAGTCTAAACATAGATCCAAGTCTAGAGGTAAAGTGAATTGTTTCTATTGTGGTAAGGCAGGTCATATAAAATGAAACTATAAAATCTTGAAGCAATAGCAAAAAGATGAGAAAGGTAATAGTTCAGATGATGACAATGTTGCAGTAGTGAATTCAGATAATGATTCAGTTACTTTGATTTGTACACATAGTGATTGTAATCATATTAGTGATCCCGACATTGAGTGGATAGTTGACAGGAGCGGTATATCATTGTGTTCTTAAGAGAGAGTTGTTTATAACTTACAAAGTAAAAAACTTTAGTTGTACCAAGATGAAAAATAAAAGTGTGTCGTAGATTGTTAGAATTGGTGATATTGTTGTACAAACTAGTACAAGCTATATGTTGACTTTGAGGTATGTCAGATACATTTCAGATATGAGAATGAACTTGCTTGCTATTAATATCCTTGATAAGGAGAGATATGAAAGCCGACAAAAGAATGGATAGTGGAAGCTTCTCAAAGGATCTATAGTAGTTGCAAGAGAAAAATTATGCTGCACAATGTATAAAACATGGATGCAATTGAACGATAACCAGGTAAATGCCATTAAAAATGATGCTTCAGCAAACTTATGGCATAGGAGGCTGACACACATGAGTGAAAAGGGGTTACAGGTTTTGACAAGGTAGTCTATTATTCCTTTGACCAAAGGTATGTCTCTCGATTTATGTGATTATTGTTTGTTTGGTAAGCATCATAGAGTTTCTTTTCGTAAAAGTTCTCAGAAAAAATAAAATAGATTGAAATTAATTTATTCTGACGTATGTGGTCCCATTGAGGTTGAGTCATTAGGTGGTAGTAGATATTTTGTTACTTTTATTGATGATGCTTCATGTAAGACTTGGGTGTATATGTTGAAATACAAAAGTCAGGTACTACAGTATTCTCAAAAATTTCATGCCATGGTTGAAAGGATGATAGGGTTACCCTTGAAGTGTATTCGAACTGATAATGGTGGGGAATACACATCTAAAGGTTTTGAAGAGTATTGTTCAAAGCATGGGATCAGGCATGAGATGACAGAACTTGAAACATCATAGTATAATGGTATAGCTGAAAGAATGAATCGTACCATTATGAAAAAAGTCAGATGTATGTTGAGGATGGCAAAATTACTAAAGCCATTCTGGGGTGAAGTAGTTAACACGGCTTGTTATTTACTTAACAGATCACCATCAGTTTCTTTGGGCTTTGACATTCCAGAAAGAGTGTGGACAGAAAAAGATACTTCATACTCTCACTTGAAAGTTTTTAGGTGTAAAGCATTCATGCATGTGTCAAAAAAGTATAGATCAAAGCTTGACAGTAAAGCCACACAGTGTATGTGTGTAGGATATGGTGATAAGGAATTTAGTTACAGGGTATGGGATCCAGTAAATAAAAAGATAGTCAGAAGTAGAGATGTGATCTTTCATGAAAAAGAAATCATAGCAAAACTTGAGAAAAATGAGAAGACTACATGGATTATTATTGAGTGTGATGTTTCAACATCGATAGGAATTTTACAGGAAAGAGCCACAAATGGTAAAAATGAGCAAAAAATAGAACTTGGGAATATGAATGAGCCAGTCACAATTGGTGATGAGCCAGATGCAATTAGTTTTGAGTAAGGAGAGCAATCTTCTCTACCTGAGAGTGTTGAGTATGGGGAGCTACCTTTGACATCAAGTGATGTAGAGTCTCAGTCCAGGAGATCTACTAGAGAGCGCAAGCCATCTACTAGGTATCCAAGTTCAGATTTTATTTTAGTTACTAGTGAAGGGGAGCCAGAAAGCTTTCAAGATGTGTAGGCTACTCCGGATAAAGAGCACTGATTAAAAGCAATGAAAGAAGAGATGGAGTCATTGCGAAAGAATGATACTTATGATCTTGTTAAACTTCCAACAGAGAAAAGGCCATTAAAAAATAAATGGATGTTCAAGTTGAAAAATATGGTGACAAACTAGTGAGGTACAAAACTCGATTGATAGTAAAAGATTTTTCTCAGAAACCAGGCATCGATTTGATGAGATTTTTGCTCCAGTTGTAAAGATGAGTTATATTCGAGTGGTACTGGGATGAACAGCTAGTTTGAATCTTGAGCTTGAGCAACTTGATGTTAAAACTACATTTTTGCATGGTGATTTATAGGAAGACATTTATATGAATCAGCCTGAGGGTTTTGAAGTGAAAAAGAAAGATCACTTAGTTTACAAATTGAAAAAAAGCTTGTATGGCTTAAAATAAGCTCCGTGACAATGGTACAAGAAGTTTGATTCTTTTATGGTGAATCATAGCTGTAAAGAATAACAGCGAATTCTTGTGTGTATGTTAAATAATTCCCTAATGATAACTTTATTATCTTATTATTATATGTTGATGATATGTTGATTGTAGGATAAGATGTTAGTATGGTTTGCAGGTTGAAAGAACAATTGTCTAAGTCCTTTGATATGAAAGATTTAGGTCCAACAAAACAGATTCTTGGTATGGATATTATCCGGGATAAGAAAGCTAAAAAGCTGTAGTTGTCACAAGAAAAGTATGTTGAACAAGTGCTTGGTAGATTTAACATGCAACATGCTAAATCAGTTAACAGTCCATTTGCCAACCATTTTTATCTAAATAAGAAATCTTGTCCTGTGTATAAGGAAGAGCAACTAGCTATGTCTAGTATTCTTTATTCTTCTGCAGTCAGTTCTTTAATGTATCTTATGGTTTGTACAAAGCCTGACATTGCTCATGCAGTTGGTGTAGTGAGCAAATTTCTTTTTAATCCGAAAAGGTTTACTAGGAAGCAGTGAAATGAATTTTTAGATATTTGAGGGGTACTTCAAAAATGTGCTTGACTTACAGAGTTTTACAACCAGTTCTAGAAGGGTTTACTAAT